TTTTTATTTATTTATATTTATATTTATATTTATCTAACCCTAAACCCTAAACCCTACACCCTCAACCCTCAACCCTAAACCCTCAACCCTAAACCCTACACCCTAAACCCTCAACCCTAAATCCTGAAAGCCGGCAGGTGCCTGTGTGAAGCTCTCCGTGGTGTTGGGACTTAGCGGCCTGGCCATCGCCGTGATCCTCCTCGTCACGCAGAGCTGGCTGCCGCCGGGCCGTCTGGAGAGCCACCGTTGGTTTCGGGTTTAGGGCTTACGGCTTAGGGTTAAGGGTTTAGGGCCCCGTTTAGGGTTGAGGGTTTAGGGCCCCAAGCCTTAAGCCTCAAACCCACTTATGGTTTGGGGTTTATAACCCTTGAGCCCCGAAACCTTGAAACCCTAGCCCAAATGCATAAGCCCGGGCACAAGCCAGAATCCCGAGACCCTACACCCAGAAAGTCGAGGCCTCAGCCATCCTAGGCCTTCAAAGGTGTGAGGCCTAACCCTAAGGGTTAAAATAGCCCGAAAGCCTTACGTAGCATGGTCTTTGGGCCCAACAGCCTTATAATATGAGTCCTTAGAGCCTTAGGGTAAGTGTGGTGAAGCTGCTGAAGCACCGCCCTTAGAGAGCCCAATCCGCACCAAATCCAAATCCAAAACCGCACGGCAGGAGTTTCCAGTGAAGGTGGCAATATGCAAACCTCTGAAGTCTCAAACCAATGGGCTGTAGGCTGAAGTCTCCACCAATAGGCCCTAAACCCTAAACCCCTAAACCCTAAACCCTATGGGGTTGGTAACTTCGGGTTCTGCAGTCATGAGTACAGTGTTGAGAAGTCGGAGGGTCCGCGCTCTGGCAACAAGTAGGCCTAGTTTCAAGAAAGGGTCTAGGGCAAGCAAGGGCCAAAAGGCGCCAAGACTTGGGGTACTGACCCTAAGGTGATAAGGACTCATCTTATCAGGCTCTTGGGCCCACAGACCATAGCATATGAGGCTTTGGGGCTATTTTGAGCCTTAGGCTTGGATTTGGGATGGCTGGCATTGTAGTTTTGCATGTTTGAGCGATTACTGTTGTCCTGTATTCGGTCACTACTCATGAGGTACCTGGACCGTTTGGGTAATGGGGGAGTTTGAGGGTTGAGGGTTGAGGCTAGGATGCAACAGTCCTTTGCCATTTCCCCACCTTGCGAAAGACAAAGGCAGTGGCTGGTGTCCGGATCTCAGGTCGACTTGGTGCTTCATCGCTCTCATACGGTCTTCAGGATTTCCTGTGCCGGGTGTTGCGGTTCAGTTGTCCGAGCCCTCGGCTTCATGCGGAAGTCACTGTGCCTTAAACCCAAAACGATCCGGGGCGAAAGTGTAATGTAGAAGCCGTAACGGGACTTGGGTTGATGGTTTGAGGGTGGTAGGCCGTCTTCTGTCGAATTTCTGGTTTGAGATTTTCGGCTGGATGGATTGAACATCAGCTACGCTTCTATCCCTGAACCTACATCCCCAAACTCATGACTGTTATGGAATGTGTTGCTTTTGTTTACGGTACGTGTGTTTGTCTCTCTGTGCGTGTGTGTCTGTCCGTGTGTGTGTGTGTGCGCGTGCGCGCGCGTGTAGGTGGATATCGGTGTTACGTGCTTCTGGTTCAATCATTCTCAGGCTTCTGCAGTATCATCATGAAATCATCTCCGTTGCTGGTGTATGGATGCTGATAGACCTTGCAACTACGACCTCTTCAGGAACGAAATCCTGGATGAGAGGTGAAATGCCTTCTCTTGTCAGTGCATGTGAGGTTGAAGATCCCCTATCCAGGATCAATCTGTGACTCGGTGTCAGGGCATGAGTAGCTAAAGGAGTTTCGGTTCGGGCTCAGACTTTTTTCTGCTGACACTTTCGAAGGATGTTAATTTCGGGTTGTACGGAGTTGGCTCGCGCTGCTGGTCGGTTCATTCTTTTCAAACCAGTCGTCTCGGTACAACCCCAGCCCATTGTGGATTACTCAGCATTGCTGTCCAACATGGTCGAGCCGAGCCAAATCCGAAAGCCCGAGACCGTACGACAAGCCAATAGGGAAACACAGGTTACGCAATGGAGTTTCCAAATCAGAGTATGCTACAATAGACACTCGATATTTGACAGCCTCTCGTATCAGCAGACTCAAATGATACCACTCTTCATTATATATTGACCAGAATTCCTAAGTAAGGTACCCAGAAGTTTAAGAACCTTGCAATCCAAGCAAATCGGCTTTGAGTGTTTCCAGACCCATGTTCTAGCAGAACTGTTCCTCAGGGCATGTATTACTTCATGCTCTCGCAGCAAGAAGACCCTGCACCAGTTCCGACCTCTTCAGTCGACACAGGTCATCGTAATGTGAGTGTCTTGCATCCTCTGCACAACCCTAAACCTTAAACCCACGGCACCGGGCAGCACCGATTTCAGCCTTGGTGCTCGGACCTCCAGCCCCAAACTCCAAAGCCAGAAGCCCTACAGGTTTGGGGTTTAGGGCCCTCGAAGTTGTCGGGTTCAGGGTTTTTGGGGTTTAGGGCCCTCTAAGATGTCGGGGGTTTAGGGCCCTCTAAGTCATGCAGGGTTTAGGGTTTAGGGCCCTCTCAGTTGTGAACCGTCGAGCAGACGAGGCTTCCTGGTGTATTTCATCCTCGGAATGCGCGTTTGCTGTGTTCTTCTGGGCACGATGCGTGTTGTGAGCGCAGGCCGACGTGCTCGGAGTGGCAGCATGTCATTTGGAGGTTTGAAGAAACAGAATCACGGATTTGACAGGGTTTCACTAAGGGTTTAAGGGTCTAGAGGAATGAGCGTGAGGCCCCTTACAACCGGCACTCGTCTTGTACTACAATATTCCCCATGAGCCTACTATGCTGTTTATTGAGGCCCCTAATATTCAGATATATAGTTGCGGGAGGGTGGGTTCATGACGTGGGCTTGCACGGCCTGGAGGTATGCCTGCAGCATGGATTCAGGGCCACCCTTGCGGCTGGCTGGTAACACCTGCTTGCCCTTTCTACTTCGAGCTTCCTTCGTAAAACCGTTGCTTGAAAATGGGTAGATCGCAATACTTATTCTTCAAGGGTGATACTCAGGAGCCTGGGCTGGAGGGTTTGCGGGGCCTGCTCTTCCTTCGGAGTTTGGGCGAACATGGAGGCGTGCTTCTCACCTTGGTGGGCACGGGCGTCGTGAAGACCATCGGAACCGCAGTAGCTGAACTAGTCAACTTTCGATTTTTTTTGTGGTAATCTGACTCTGAAATACTTGTCGTGGAAAATGACATCGACAACCAAGGAACCAGCATTCTCGGTGCCATGTCCGGCCCCTTGCTGCAAGAAGGGGTTAAGGGCTTGCGGATGGGTGGATACAACAAGGGCAACTAACGCATATGACTTGCGGTATATAAGTCTGTCTATACATGATATATACATATATATATATATGTATATATATATATATATAATGTACGTATGTATATACCTATATATAGTGAACCCCAGAAAGTTCGAACATGGGTTTGGGATGATTAGTGCTAGGATTCCCTCTGCTTTACCTTAAGGGCATGAGGATAACGATGTTCCAACCTTCTGGCCTTTGCTTTCTACACAGAAAAACGAGAGAAACACATCAACAAACAAACAAACAAACAAACAAACAAACAAACAAACAAACAAACAAACAAACAAACAAACAAACAAACGAAGAGAGCAGAGACCGTGAGCGCGCCACATAGCTTCATTTGTTTTGATGGTGTCCTTATGGCATATTCTTATGAAGGCTATGCGACCAGGACGATGCTGACATTGGTGAGGGTCGTTCAAGTGTCATCAACCAGGCATGGGAGCTCGAGGCTTGTTTGTGTATGGTGTTGTGGAGTTCTGGGTTTATGGGTTTGTGGATTTCCGGATGTATAGAGTAGAGAGAGAGAGAGAGAGAGAGAAAAACAAAACAGGCGAGAGAGAGCGAGCGAGAGAGCGAGAGAGAGTGAGAGA